GGCATCTTGGCCAGCGCTAAGCAGCTAGCTCAGGTGTAGGGACAGGAATTCCAAATGTCATAAACCAGCTAAATTGGAATCAACTAAGGAGTTTGTTAAACTAACTCACCTACAAAAGTTCAATCCCAGTGCTGCTGTTCGCGTGTGATGCTCACCATTGTGCTCCAGGCCTTTGGTCATAATGACAGAATGTTAGACCCGAAAGGGACCTTGGAGATTATCTAGGCAACCTCCTTATTTGACAGATGAGCAGACCAAGGCCCAAAGAAAAGAGAATTGCACATAGAACTACTAGGGACTGAGCCAACACAGGTCATCTCTTTCTAGAACTTCACTATCTAGGTGGCCACTAGCCATGTGTGGCTATTTATATTTAAATAAATTAGCATTAAGTCAAATTTAAAATTTAGTTTCTATCACACTAACCACATTTGAACTGCTCAACAGCTCAACAGTAGCTTGTGGCTACTACGTATTGGACAGTGCAGACAGAACATTTCCAACATCGTAAAAAACTCTATTACAGTGTAGGGCTGGTCTGGAACCTGGGCCTTTCATTTGAAGGTAGTGTGGGAACTGGATGCTTTTATCAGTGTCTTCTCCCCTAAATAATTCCTGCAGAAGATTAACTGCAAGAGAATGTGGTTGCACTCGTCAGTTATAATGGCTTGGTAATAGTATTTTGACAAACTAGAATTTTATACATATAACTGGGAGAACAAATTCCGCCCCCTAAGTTAAGACAGGCCTTATCTAGGAACCAAATCAGACACTAACATGAGTTCATTTCAAAGCTCTGGCTGGTCTAAAAGGTATACGGTCCACTTCTTATTCCTGGTAGGTCTGAGGGGAATATACTTCAGAAGCGAAAGGAGGAATAAACCAAAGGAAATAAAACTGTTCTGCATAATAAATGTAAAGTGTTAATATAAGGTGTGGAAAGGCTTACAAATTAATTGAGGGGTAGAAATTATGTCTTTTCCTCCTTGTAGATTTATATTATAATATTTAAGATTATTCGTCCTGGGAAAATGTATCTGATCCAATAGTTTGTCAACAAAAAACACTGAAAAATAAGAGGTACACGTACAATTCTAGATGGGAGACTTAAAAAGTGACCAGACTTGGAGTGTCCACACCTACTCCAGGCTTAAGAGACACGAGGAAAATTACTCCTGGGAGAAGGCGTCTCATTAGAGAGGGAAGCAACACAAAGCAGAGGTTTTGGAGAAGGAAGCATCTGGAGACCAAGGCCAGAACTTGGAACTGTGGTTCCATCCCCAAAGGACCCTGGTGAGGGACTCAGATCCTCCCGGGGATTTTCCCTTGAATCATATAGATAGTCGTGACTCCATGTAAAAGTTCACATTTTCCCTTTGAATTCCCTGTAGCTCCTCCAATCCTTCAGAAAAGCCTTGATACATCCATACAACTTGTCTAGTGGTGGTCTTTCCCCATAAATGGGAAAAGGAGTTATGACCTGCCTCACAGTCATTCCCTTGCCGATGTCCTGAAGGGAGCAGCATTTTGTTCAGGGGACTACTGTGTGTCCAGGAGTTCCAGAAGGTGAGCAGAGAGAAGGTGCCCACAGCTGGTGGGGGTGGAAAGTGGATGACACAGATACTACAGAGCAAAGTGGACCCTGGTGGGGTGATAAAGGGAGTGGAGGTGGTGGGACTGATGCTTAGGTCATAGAGGTGAGTTCACATACACAAATTACCATCAGACAATCAAGGTAGCCTTGAACCAAATAGATTTGGATAAGATTTATTGATTGTTTTAGAAAACCAACAGCAAAACACTGACAAGGTACATAAATACAGATTGGACATTTTAGGGTAAATTCACTATATTTCCTACTTGCTTGTAGGAAACCAGGTAAGGTGGAAAAGCTGTCCTGATCATATGGCATGCACACCAGACTGCAAAAGGACTTCCACACTATTTAACAGGACTGTGGCAAATAGCTTTAAAGTAAGGCAAGCATCGTGTGTGGCATAAGCATACCCTGTACCAAGAGCCAAGGCCAGGCTTGCCCTCAGAGACTGCGTATGAGTGAGGTTTCCCTTTCTTGCCAAGGTTCTTCCAATAAAATCCTCAATGGCAGGTGCCTTTATAGGGAGATGCCTGGTGCTGTCCCTGCTCAGACTCTGTGTACCAGGAGAAAGTCAGTGTGTTTCTGATGCCTCCTTTGTATTCTAAATGTGCAACTGGTAAAACAGCAATTACTACGGCTTGATGAAACTGCCTCTGACTCACCCTCTACAGTGACTAAGCAGGGCCTTTAAAAAACTTCTAAAAAGTGAAAAAAAAATTAAAACATAAAAATTATATTAAAAGATGGTACCACTTTTGAAGCACAACTCAGAACTTTTCATAACACCAAAGGAAGAGGTCACTTTCCACCGAATCTAACGACCTTAGAAGGGAAACACCATCGCTGGGCATGGCCTGATGGCGATGCACACAGAGGTCACAGAACTCTACCGAACCTACCTCAGGCCCTGCCAGTGCTCCCAAAGTCCCGAGGTATTTGGGGAACCAAAGCAATTTAAGCAAATGGTGACCAGTTTTGGGGGCTTATGATCATAGGACCACAAACCCTCATCCATCCTGGAGCTCAATGCCAGAACAATGAAAAATAAGGAAAATGGCTTTTTGTGCTACATCAGAGTGCTGGCAGGTAGACAATTCAGTAACCTGTGCCACTTTCTACACATCCGTAAGACTACATAAAAACAAACTTGTTTTACAGAATGAAGACCAACAGAGTCTTAGAGGATAGTTCAGCCTTTCCTACATGCCAAGCTATATGGCCAGAAAAGGTATCTCCTCAGGAAAAAGTAAGGCTCCTTCAAGAAAAGTGGAAAAGCAAGTATTTGCAAAGAGCCAAAGAAATGTGTTCAAATGCATCATACACAGCTTTTTCTTCCGACAGGTGCTAAGAGTTCTTTGGTGGTTACAGGAGAGACAGCCTAGAACTCAGGGCAGGAGACTATGCCAAAGCAAGGAGTAAAGAGTGACATCTAAGCTCAGCATTCAACAACTGTCATCCAGTTGACCAATTACAGCTAATCAGGCTACTTAAATGTTTGCTGGTTTCTAGCCCCTCAATGGTTCTTGCTTTTCAGTTTCTAACTACACATTAGCCCCACTCCATTGAAAAGGAAATGCTTGTGGGAAAGGGGTAGGGAGGAAGAAGAACTATAAATGAATCAATTGTTTGGTAGAAAAGTTGAAGCACTGATCATCTATGGATTTCAATTATCTGTGCTTTACTCTGGCTACTCTGGGTAACCAAAGGTCACTGTTAATATAACTTTTGCTTAGAAATGCTAAGGTTTATTATTATATTTTAAAATCTAGTTACATAATGGACATGAATAGTTTAGAGCAAATTTTTATATCATGTCACCAGGGCCCTGAAAAAACAGATTATTCTTCCAGTGGAAAGGATTTCAGTTTGACCCCTGAAGAACAGTTAAAATTTCAATCTATTCTATATTGGTTTTTAGACTTTCCAGAATATGGAAAATACTTTATTAAATGAAGAAAGCATCATTTTCTTGATTTCATAAAGTATTACATTCACAGATAAATTAGTATATACATGGGAGAACTGACAGTATTAAATATTAGATTTTAATTTTCCATTTAGGAAACTCCTTATAGGCAGACTTTCTTGTTCCTGGGCAAAGAAAAATGTAAGAAGATATGCAAACATGAGATAGTACAAAGATGACTGGGGAGAAGTCTCAACTCTTAACAAATCCATGAAATAGTAAGTCTCTAAGAATTGTAATAAGAAAATGCTGGACTTGAAAACCCAGCTCTACCAAGAATTGGCCTGTGCCAGCCAATCACATCTCAAATTTTTGGTATAATTTGACTCTAAAGTAATGAGCTGGCTTCCCCAAGACAGATAAAAAAGGAGTCTACCTGCTTTATAGTCACACCCTATATATAATCTGTATATATCCATATGTGTTTCTATATATTGCACTTAAACTTACAGGACTGCAGTAAGATGGCTGGGAATACCTCAAAGAGGCAGAGAAGCAGCAGGCATAAACTTTCCTAAATCAAGTAACAGTGTCTGGAATTCAGAGTGCTGGTTATAGATATACTAAAATGCCTGGTGACCCCCTATATAAAATCCTAATCATCTACATTTAAGTCATCATACCCACAGTCTCATTTGGCATCTAGAACATGTGCACATGTGTGGTTCTATAGCGCTCAGAACTGATCACACTACATCATTTTCACTAGTGTTATAATTAAAAGAAGACATTTTAGACCAAGGATACATACTTTTATGAAAACATCACACACAAGGTCTTAGATGTCAGGCCTCCAAAGTCTACCTCAAAGAAGACTGCCTTCAGAAGGCTTTAAGAAGGATGCTAGCAAGTGTGGATTGAACCAGTCTCTCTTTCTGCTCTCTGCTGTCACAGAACTAGAGACCTGCTTATATCCCAAGGACCATGGAAGGATAAGCACAGAGGCCAGGCATTCATTCAGTCTTTGGTCCCTATATAAATCCATGACAAAGATCATTTCACCACCTTACGTGACGTGAATTATTTAATTATGGATATTTCCCCCCAAAATATCTAGAGACTAGACTGGAGTCATGCAGCAAAGCTTTGTTTTAAACTAACGGACCTGCTCAGGCAGGCTTGCTCTGGAGAGAGCTCCTCATTGGACCAAGCACAGCAGTGGGTGGTAAGAGGTTAAAGGCCAGACTGGTCATGGCAAGTTGGAGGTGGGGCCTCTAAAGGCCTTGCTCCTTTTCCTGCCTCTCCCCTACCCCCTCAGCCCCCTAAAAGGACCCAAACTCACAAATGAATGGTTGTTACAAGACCTTGCAGAACACAGGCTCCATCAACTCAATCTCACTTAGATGGGAGGTTATAATAAGGCCTGGAGGTTAGGAGTCCAAGTGTAGAGGCCACAGTTTTCTCTTCCCCAGAACTGAACACTAGATGGTTACTTCGTAGCCATAACTCACAGGTGATTTTAAATCCACACATGAGCTTCTGGGATGAAGGAAAAAGAAAATTAACTTTAAAAGCTAAATGAAAAAGAGGCACTTAAAGGAAAAACCTGTCCCCAGTCTGAGTCTCCTGTTGTGATCTAACCAACGAGATGATCAGCACTGTGCCCTCTTGCATGCCTTTAGCACCTTTCATTCACCTAAGGACTTCCAAATGCTCATGTCTCAGTGCCTTGCTCAAGTGTTCTAGCACCCTAATGGCAAAGCAAGTGAAAATTTAGATTATTTCTTTTTTAGAAATAAAAAACAACACAAACCAAACCAGAACTAAAATTTCACGCCAAAAAGTGAATGATTCTCAGTTTCATTCCTTCCTCATGCTAGTTTTTAAAATGATACTTAGTTCTTCAAGAGGAATGACCTGTGGCTTTCCCCTCAAGACCTTTTATCCAATTACTAGGCAATTACTCACAGCACCACGCACATTAAAGCAGAGAAAAAAAAATACAAAAAGCTAAGAGAAAAATCATGGGCCAACTGGCTTTCTAGAGATAAAACCCATTGCCTGAGAATATGACAGGTGCATGGCCCAGAGTTACAAAGAAACAATCCTGAAAGGAAATGGCCAACATGACAGTCAAAGCTCACAGTCCAGAGCAGAAGCCCTTCCTGCCCTGCTCTCTTCCGGCTTCTTACAAGCTTATGTTTGTGTCCCACACTGTTTATGCCACACATTCAGGGTCTGCAATCCTCATGATGAACTCAAAGAGATACTGGAAACCATTAATAAGCACAAGAGAATTTCAAAACTGCCCAGAACAAAGAACTTTGACCACCACATTTCTTGATTTGAAACATCCTTGGTGCCATAATTTCTAAGAGCAACAACTAACAGCACAACTACAACACACAATAAAGTTTTTTGACAAGTCAACTCTAACCATTGCTGGCACCATAAGGATTAGAAAAGAAATCACTAATCAAGGGCTGGTGAGCTGCTTAACTTTCCTCCAAAGTCAAAGGATAGGTTTGGTATCTATGCAGCAAGACATCAACCACTGCTGCCATTAGATCCAGCTACTCAATTAGATATATCTGAAAACAGGAAGTTAAACATCTAGCTTTACCTATAACCTGCAGGATTCTCAAGTTTAGCTTCTTGTTCTAGCCCCAAAACTTCTTGTTGTTGTCGCTGGATTTAATTTTTTTAATTTAATTTTTGTTTTTATTGATGATGTTGCTTTAATTTATAGAGCACATGGTAATATGGTTAGAGTTCCTTTAAAATTTTTCTTTATTTTATCTTGATTCATAACATTATTAAGGTACTTTCAGACTTTCCCTCAACTCTGTCAAGGAAGGAGTATGTGCGTATGTGCGTGTGTACTGAGGCAGGAGGGAGAGAAGCAAAGGAAAAAAGCACAAGGGAAAGTGAGATTCCATAAACTTAAAACAATTTACAGAAAGGCATCTGATGTATTTTCTGAATAAGGCCTTGATCAGGGTAACCAATCCTCTTTGAAGCACATTCTACACTGCCCATAAATAAAGGAGTCTCTTTAAATTAACATTTCCAGTATCAATGAACAGTCCAGAAATCCTCATTTCAAGCGTTCAATGAGTCCCTGTGTGAGTCCAAGGTGCAGAAGCTGTGTTCGGGAGAGGTTTGCCAGGTTGGGGAAGGCCGCGAGCAGCTTCTCCCACGCCAGCTCCAGCAGGCTAGGCACCACCAGCCAGATCTTAAACAACGACCCAGTCCGTTTATTTTCATGGATGTTCACCACACCTCCGTGAATGTACATGCAGCCAGCCTATGAACAAATGGCAGTCACAGAGGATAAATATAAGTGGGAGAGAAACAGATACTTAGGCTGGAGATTCAGCAAAAAAATTCATGGTAGGCTAAATTAAGATGAGATGGAACAAAAAATTTCTCATTAATTCCAACATAGTGCTGAGATCAAGAAAGGTTTAAATAATGAATGAGTTACGAAGGGAAAAACTAGAGATTATTTTTACTTCAACAACTTCAACAAATGTTAAACTAAGACTATATTAAGTATCCACTGTGTCAAATACTAGGAATACAAAGATGCAAATAAAGGTCTTCGAGCTCAAGAAACTAGTAAACTCTTGAATAATATGGCATCATGGGGATAAAACTATTCTGCTCTCCCAGGAGGGGAGATACCACTGTCAGGGCCCGAATGCCACATGTAGCATTTCTTTTACATTTATGCTGCTCTTTTAAGCTTGTATGTGATAGTTTTACTCCCCTTTTCTTTGAGGAAGAGCTAGCTTGGACGAAGGTTTTAAAAACACATTCTTAATCCAAGTTTCGCTAATACCAGAATCTTTTTTTCTTGCTAACATCCCTAAAAATATTTCCTTATCATCTGCAACTACATAAAGAAGATATGAAAATTAAAACTTACTGGTGTAACAGCTGCACAGTGAAAATACACTGGCTCTGGCATGGTAGCTGGGAGCTTGACCCACTGAAAAGTCTGCAGATTCAACTTCCAGATATCTCCCAGGATCACTTCTCCATTGTAGCCCCCGCAAATAAACACATCTATCACGAAAAGAGAAAGCCAAGATCACACCAAGGAGAAGAGCCACAGCGACAGCACATCTGGCAGTAGCTCTCATGGCTAGCAGACAGGGGAACTGGTTCAGTGGCTCTCCCCATACTACAGAGGACTTCAGCTAGCGGGCCACTCATGCTGCTATATCGTCCCTCACTAGAGTTTGGACACTCTGTTGGGATCTTTGCTAGGGCTGAGGATGCCGGTCTGAGAAGGCTTCATTCATGTCAGGGTTCTCAAATTCCAGTAGCTCCAGGTGCTAGGCATAGATAGTGAATGAGCAAGAAGGTCCAAGGAAAATAAATAGGAGGTCCAGGGAACAAATAGAGGAGTGCACGTGCCCTAATGGGGAAGATGACGATGCAGCTCTAGCTGATTGATAACCATGTAGGACTTAAGGTCAGCAACTGCCAGATCTTCATTTTTTTAAGAGAAGCTGGAAATCTAGATTTTTTTTTAAAGTGAAATATTTTTACTTTTTGAAAACATTTTGCTTTTTAAGTATTGGTCACTAATTCAAAAAATGATAAAACACATATGAGCCAAACAAAACATATCTACAGGCCACCAGTTAGTGAACTCTTCTTCTTAAATAACGCCCTGGAGAGGATAGACATTTATCTGCCCATAGAGACAAATGTTCTCTATGTAGACAATTAACTTGAGGGGAAACATTCACTACAATGTTCAGTTTGGGGAACAAAAGACATTCTTCCAAATCTTCTTCAGCCCAAAGAGGATAGCTTAAAGCCCCATTTGATCTGTACCAGTTATTTATGTCAGGAACAAAACCTTCCTAAAATCAAAGGTTTTTTATTGTTGTGGTTTTGTTTGTTTTTGTTTTTGTAAAATCAGTTAGTTATAATGAATTAGATAACATGTAACAGAGACTATGTGAACCTTCAAACTAGATGTCCAGAACTAAGGCTGAATTCCATTTACAGGGTGTGTGGACTCAAAGAATCAAATGAATACACATCTTAATTCAGGTCTAGACCAAGCATAAGTCAATACTTAATTAAACTATAAAACACATTGGAAACTTTTTTGGCTAGGATTCAAGAGAAGTACAGCTCCGTTCTTAGAGAAGCAAAGCTGACCAATGCCACTGTCTATAAATCTTGCCCCCAAAGCAGAAGCATAATGAAAAGCACCTCTGTACTAGCGATGGCAGCATAATCTTAGTAAAATCTGAACTAAGCTGCTGAAAGGATATAGGCTATCAAACTCATTTATACATACCTTCCTCCCCCTCAGATTTAAAGTAGTACATCCAACTATAAAATAAGCTGTAAATCACAAGAGAGGAAAGTTGTCCAAAGAGGAGTCATTTATCACACTTAGATAAAGCAGCTGCAGCTGTTTTCTGATGCCATACAATGCCTGTGTTGTAATATGGCCAAAGAATGAACTAAGAGTTCTATCTGGCATCAGATAGAGAACAGAATAAACTTTATGAAATAACATTCTGAAGGAGTTACTACAATTTTAATACAATGTCTACTGAGGTCTCTACTGCATGTCAAGATTATTACTTTTACCCACCGTAAGTGCAGACATCTGTTGAGGTGGGGTGCTGAAAGATTAGGTGGTATCATAAAAGCTTATCATTTACTTTTGAGTTCTCTGATAACTGAGGGGACGCAAATACCACACTAGCTTACTTTATGAAAATTGCTGAGAGAGGCATAACTTTATGGAAACTATAAGAGACAGACTCTCCCCAAAATTATGCCTCTTTTAAGGAGTTATTAAGAAATAGGATATTCTCAGTATACACAATTACAAAAATGGAACCAGCATGTTATTTGAAATCCTTACCATTTTTAATCTGAACACAACTGTGGCATCTTCGGGCTGCAGGAAAACCTACCAAACACATAAACACAGAAATTCCATTATTCACAGAAAGACTGGGAATAATGGTGATATAATATAGCAGAAGACATACTACAAATAACTCACTTAAAACAATCCCTTTGTTGCATTAAGCAGTGCTAGTCCTTCCAATCCTTCCTTATTTCACACTAAAATAAAGCCATCAGAAGTTTCATCATAATGGTACAATGTTAAGGTGTCAGGAAAACAAAGTGAGGTGGTGGTGGGCAGGGGTTACTAGTGGCTTTCCCAAGCTTTTTTACCCACAAAGAAACAGGCAGATCTTGATTTAAGTGCCTACTTCTCATCCCAGCCAGATTTCCCCGCTTCCACAGAATTCAGTAATCCTCATCAAAAATCTCTGCTCAGTTGCTAAGGAAGAATAGTAATTGGACTAAGGAATACAAGTAATTTCTAATACCAGTTCAACAGATATTTTACTGTCATGGAATGCAATAAAATTACTTTTTCCCTTCCAGAATTAGTAAAACTAAAATACATTTACTAAAGATAAATGAATCAGTATTTTAAATTTACCTATTTTTTCATGAGGCTTTGTTGCAATTTCCTCCCATGCATTTGTTTCAAGGTTGTATGCATGAATCTTGAAGAGAAAGGAAAAAAAAAAGACACACAAGTAATTTTAGCTAGCCTGAAAACTGGATTTTTCGCTAACAGCCTGTACAAACATATTCTTGGTTGAAAAGCCTTCTATTCCTTTGCTTTTTTCTGATCTTTACTAATTCTAATATAAGGCAAAGATTAAATTAAGCAATTGAAAACTAAGCACATATATGATTTCATTATTTTTAAATCTTAGAAAAAAATGAAGTAAAAAAGTTGGAATTCTGCAACTTCCTCATTTTCTACATTAAACATGTATCATTTTTCTAACAGAAAAAAAGCAAGTCTGGTAAGAAAACATGGGAATGCAGTTTTGACAAAACTTGAAAAAGACTGTTAAGGTTCCAAAGCAGACCAGGAGCTCAGCAGCCTAGAGACATCGCCTGGGATATGTGGATTTAGGAAGGCCACAGGGGTGGATGAATGAAAGCCCTTCAGAGCTCAGCTTTCTGAAGTTAGTGATGTGCAGTCCTAAACATGCCTTTTCTTTTTAGATACATGGCACTGACAATGAGAGGGATGTGACATTCTGAGAATCCTGGTTTCAGTTCTAATTAGTTGCTCCTATTTAAGCTACTATAGCTTCCTTTTAGTGACTTTCCTACCTAGCATAGAGGGATAATTTTCATATTGTATTTTCAGTGTATAATAATGCAACTGTCAACTGGAAAGCATGTCGGGGCACAGAGTTCAACCTTATATTATAAAGAGCATCTAACACAAAATAGGTGTTGATGAAGAACCTGCCTGAAAATTAAAATATCTACAGTAACAGAAATTAGCTTGCTTTAGCATAACACATGCCTTGCTCTGCCTTCTTCCCCTCTTTTTTTAATATACCTTGTTTAAGGAATAAGCTGTCCAAGAAGTACCACCTCCCAGGATGTAAATCCTCTGCCCATCATGTGCAATTTCATGTCTGTATCTGGAAATATACAATAAAATACATTTATAATTAAGGGAAAAAATGATCTACCTGAGATTTAGCTGCAAGGCTTTTTACTGCATCATTATTTCTAATAAATAACCCAAGTGTTTAATAATAGTGAATCAGTTAAATAAATTATAGAATATATATAAAATCGATTAGTATGCAACCAACAAGAATGTAGGCACAAAGGATGGTTAATATACTGAGAACTTCTTTTCATGTCATTAGCTGAAAAAAATAGTTATAGAAGAGCAGATAGGCTATAATCATATTAAAAATTTATAGATATACAAAAATGTACAGAAAATGACTATAAGGATACATGCAAAATGTTAACCCTGGTTATCTCTGAGTTTAAATTTTGCTTTTCATTTTCTTCATTTTGCTTATTTATATTTTCTAAAACAAAAATTTTAGAACATTTTAATTTTTTGTACAATTTTATTTATTGATTTATTTATTTTGGGGGGAAAGTAATTAGGTTTATTTGTTTATTTATTTATTTATTTAATTTATTTATTTTAAATAGAGGTACTGGGGATTGAACCCAGAACCTCGTGAGTGCTAATTAAGCACGCGTTCTACCACTGAGTTTTACCCTCCCCCCCCTTTTTTTGGAAGCCCTCCCCCTTTCTACATTTTCTATAATCTTTTTGTGATAACTTTGTATAAGGAGGGAAATTATTACAGAGTTTGAAAAAGTGATCTGCCTACATTTAATTAGAAACCCTAGACTATGGGCTTTCAAATTAAGACGCTTATTTAACAGATAAAAAGATATCAGAAAAATTATGCCACACAAAACTGTGAATATAATGTGAAATACCTACCAGAACCTTTATCTAAGCAGTCTAGCTAAAAGCTGAAACAGTTTATAATATGTCCATAAAATGATTCAAAGAAAGCAACCATGTGAAAACGCTTTGAAAACTTATTCTTTCCTCCTTTCCCTGAGGCCCTGGTGTTGATAATAAATTACATCAAAATTATTCCCTGTAATAGGCCATCTCCAAGTCCTCTCATGGTAGTTCTGCAATAATCAGCCCACTAACATACTACATTGGAGATGAGTTTTCCTTAGCACCTGTATGTCATTTATTTAAAGGGCAACAAAGAGATGTTAGTCTAAACAGAGTGATTAAAAAACTGTTTACTGTCTTTGCTTTTAAACTAGAGGGCAAAAAATTTAAGTTTACCAGTGAGTTTAATTCTAAGAAGAGGCAGTTGCTATTAGGAAAGAAAAGTGAAAGATCTAGGATTTCCACTAGAAGGCAACTTAAGAGAATCATGTGATGTTTGAGTGTACCACAGAGCACTTAAAAAAAATGATCTTTCCTCCCTCCTCCCTTCCATCCATCCATTTATCCGTCCAGTCAACATTCACTGACTACTACCTACGGGCATGACACTGTGCCCTGTACTAGGAATACACTTGCAAACAAATGAGCCAAAGAATCCTAATATGCAAGTTAAGAAGGGAAATCAAAAAGTAACTAGAAAGTGAGTGCTTTGCCTGTAATATGAAATTTAGTTACAGTTATTACCATTGGTTTCTACCTTCCTAATGCAGGAAAACTGAAGTATAAGAGGAAATAACATGAAAAAAGCCTATAGTTCAGAGGGAAATATCATTCCCTCACCAGAAGACCTTTCTTTAAAGCTGAACTGGGATGGAACAGCCAGTTCACTATTTTAACCAAGCCAAAGGGTTTTCTTCAAACCTTATTGCCAATATTCTGAAAAAAAAGTCAAATCTTAGCAAGAAAGAATAAATATGCTTTAATCCTATAATCTCACCTCTCTTCTGGTAGATCACAGGACAAGTTGTTTGGTTTCAGTTGTGTCCATTCTCTAGTATTGAGGTCTAATTTGTGCAGGTCTGTGCTATAAATATAGCCAGTTGTCCCTCCAAAGACATAAAGGGAGCCATTGATGATAGCCATGGCCTAGATAATGAAGAAAGATGAACAAGACTGCCTTGTTAACACTTGATTAAAGAATATAAACTTATTAGATACTCCCAAATCAGGTTTTATGAAAATTTCTTGTACTTTTTAACCTTATAAAAATCAGACCCTTAAAGGACTAAAGATTTTAGAGATTATTTACAGAGATTATTTTTAGAAAGGTAAATTTTGCTCAATGAAAAGTAAGTTCTACATAGACAGGCAAAGGACATCAGATGATCCTTAGGGGTCCTAGGCAACCAAAGAATTTATAGACCATGGACATGAGCATTTCCACTGAAGGCTGCTTTTCTTTCTAAGCAGTCTGAAGAAAATGCTCTTAAGAGGACGAAGCAGATATGAAAATAAGATACCCAAATCCTTTAAGTAAGAAGCCTAGAGTTGGCAGTCCCCAAAACTTGATATTTTCCACCAGACTCTTCTCAATGCAAATTTGGCTATGGTTATGGTCATTTATTAGTGTTTAAATGCCTCCTGTGGTGGGATGCAGTTATCCAGTCTGTGCCTCTACAAATAGCTCAGAAGCTGTCAGTACCAATGCCAGCTAGTTGAGAAAGAAGCCAATGCTTGGCTGTTTTAAGCTTAGCCCATTACTCTCAAAGGGTCTCTGATGCATGGTGAGTTGCTTCCTATCTTTTAAAATATAACTTTTCAAACCTAAGGCTTGAAGCACTGAAATCTAACTGGAAACTAATTTCTATATAATTTGTGTTTTAGCTCAGATCTGTATAAAAGTTTCTTAACCAAGTACAGAGATCATCTGCTCTACTACTTAGGGTAGAAAACTCTTCAAAGCATCCTATCACTCTAAAGATGACAGGACCTTGACCATATGTTGCCCAATGTCTCACTTGGGGTGGGTAGGGTCCTGACATTTAAAGAAACTTCCATACAGGTTTAGATCACTGATCCTAAGTTGGATTAGAAACAGAGTAAGGGCAAAAAGGAAAGGAGAAGGCAAGCAACCAGATTTACAAACTACAATTTCATATCAGAAATGAACAATCAAATAGTAATCATAATGAACTTATCCCCATTAAAAAATTGGTAGCAATATAAATATTCTGACATTGTCCAGGAACTAGAAAAATCCAAACAAATACATCCACCATGACTGGCCATAGATTGGTACCTGTCCATATATACGACTCGGTTTCTTCCCCCGACAGCTGAGTAAAGCCCATCTCTTATACTTCACGTTACAGACATGGACATCATTGCCGTTGCTCTCACCAAATGGGATACCCGTCCCTCCAAACACTAACAGGTTGTTTCCGTGTAGCACAACTGGGGAAGGAGAAGCACAAATTCCCTTTACATACTGGCTACCTGCAATGTGTTCCCACATTAACCCAGAATATCTGAGAAACTAAAAAGTTATCTGCTTTAATGCTTTCAGAAGATAGCTCAAACCACTGACATGTAATTACTATAAAGTTCTGCAGAAAAAGGTCTAATTCACATTATATCATATAGCTCACTGTTTAGTATATGACATGTATTCAATGCATATCTCTGGAATTCATGAAACACTGTATGTAACAATATTGAATGACATTAACTACAACCCACCACTGCTGCTCGACACAGTTCAAGTATGCAGCAAAGCAGAGGAAAATAAAGTATCATCTTTGCCTTAGCATAGACCCAGCAGGATTCAGGATGAAGGGATAAAAGGATCATTCTGTTTTTGCGAGGGGAATGATCGCTACATTTCAAATTATGGTTTCTGTCATCTTAATCTTCTGTCAGATAAAAAGAACACTAATATCCTGCTGGTAACTTTCTGTTCCTGTCGTCACACACACTTGTATATACTTTTTGTCTCTTTCTGATGGCAGATACTCTTGAAGATACTGCTACTGTATTATTTCAATGGCTTTTTTTTTTTAACCAATTCTTCGATTGATACAGGGTAAGAGTTAATAGCATGAGCTCTGGAGCTGGTGAGAGCTGGGTTTAAATTATCGTGTGACCTCAGAAAAATTATTTAATCTCTCTCAATTAATCTTCCTAACAATCCTATGAGGTAGGAACAATTATTATTTTCCCCATTGACATAGACAATGAAACAGAAATGGTGAGCAGTTTAAGTAACTTGTTGAAGGTCTCCTAAAAAGAACCTTGCCAAGCTGGGCTTCAAACCCAGGCAGTCTGGCCCCAGAGCTCGTACTCATAGGCTTAGGGTCTCTCTATCTAAAGCTTCAGTTTCCTCATCTGTATGATGGCAATAATTCCAGTACCTGCATCATAGGGATGTTGTAGGATTAAATAGATACCATGTGTGAAATACTTTGCTCAACAGCTATTATCATCATTATAAACCTCATTTGTTGATCTTCTACTACATTCTGCCTAGAATATGATATTTTACATTGAACTCCCTGAGATATTATTAATCTCATTCTATAGGTAAGGAACTAGAAACAAAAAAATCATCTACCAAGCAGAGAGTATACAGCTAAATTCAAACTCAGGACTATCCAACTCACAATTGATTGTGAATCACCACGCTATATTGTTATCATAGTAAAGAGTCTATCTATTAACAAGGTTTAATCATATTACAGTATTATTAAAAATTATTAAGAAGGAACATGTGACATTGAACAAGAACTCTCAGACGTTTCATAAAGTCAAAAGTTCAGCACTGCTTCAGAACTCACGTGACATAGATGCCAGTTCCCGAGGCATGTAGCCATCTGTGCCCATCTGGTGCCACACTCCTGTAGCAAAATGATACCTCCAAAGCTCCCTGAAGAGAGGATAGTCTTCATTATCTGGCCCTCCTGATTCATCATAATCTGGGTTATAACCTCCAAACACATACAGATTGGTATTATCTGCCACACAACGATGTCCGCTTCGTGCTGGTGGAGGTCTGTGGCCTAGGAGAGAAGAGGGCAGTTTTCCACAGATGGCCCAGCAGATTAAAAGCACAAACAAAATTTGGTAACAAATATTTTATCTTTAAAAAGCAAGCAGGGAAAATTTATAACCTTGATGTACTTTTTAATTACTTAGGTTATTTTATACATTCACACATACTACTTAAGATTTTAAGGAGCTAGTCTCCATTTCTATTTCATATGACTATTTTCAGATTTTGATAACTGTAAAAAGATTTTACAGCAAAAACAGCATTATAAACTCAAGAAAATGGCTGATAACTTGGAATTTTCAAGAAAAGAAGGAGGAGGGGTTTAATAATCCAAAAGCTAAAAGGACAAGTTTTCTATTTTCTTTGAGGATAAAAAAAACATAGGCCAACTAAATTAAACTGAAAATATTAGAGAACTACAGAAATATAATCACAAATGTGAATGAGTTATGTATAAATAAAAATACACACACATAAAACCTATGATTTTCCCACAATATATAATTATACACTTAAAAAGAAAACTGGCTTTCAAAGAATTATGGCAAAGTTTAGAATTTAACTACCACTCCACGCATTATGGCAGTTAACAAAAGTATCCCTATATTCATCTCAAAGAGCATCTTTCATCGTATCAAGAACTTCACTAAGAAAAGCTTTTTCTACAATTTGTATTTGAAAGCTTTCTTGAAGTTTAAATTATGTCAACTAGTTCACTAAAAATTATTTCAAGATTTAGAGTAAAAAACCCCTAACTTTATATTATCTCTGTTATCCTTACAATTTTTATACCAGTCTATGCAAACTCTTACACAGCTACAGAACCAAAGATGCTTAAATATACATTAGGTAGAATAAGCTGTCTGTTACCCTAAAGACTTGTCTACTTTCATATATTAGGAATAGATACTAATATAACATTAGGATTTACGGCAATGTTGGACTCCTAATAAACATCTATTATTAAACATTTATTACCAGTCTAACTCAGGCCTTACAATTTTTTAAAAATCAAAATCCCACTTCCTAGGGTATGCTTTTAAACAAGAACTGAAAAGAAATTGCAGACATCTAGAAAAGCTAAAAAACAAACCATGAATCACTCAAGTCCAACCTGTCAGTCCTGAGAGCCTTTGATGGCTCCTTACTGCTCAAGCTCAAAGTCCTCAAACAGCAACTTACAGAGTGCTTCCTGATCTCTCACACTCCTGCCTATTTTAAGTCTATCTTTCTGTTAGGAAAGCCAAGTCCTCCCCTCAGACCGGGCCTGCTCTACCTAGCCTTCACTGCCTGGTTGTGGGAATGCCTCCGAATCTAGCCAATACAGCTCTTCCTCCTCAATAAAACCCTAGGGCCCTTGCTGTTCAATACCATACTACTAAAGCATTAGGATATACATGTACAATTAATATGATTATTACACTGTAACTATGCAAATACATGAATAAATACGATATTAGGCAAACTATAACCAGTTAGAAAATTTACTCATGAGCTATGATTTACCTAGTAAAGAACTCAATTTCTCTTTCTAAAAATCTTGAAACACAGAAAATGTGGTGTGGAAGAAAAAGCAATTAACTTCTACCAGTACCTAGATTTGAATCCAGGTTCTTCCTGTTACCTTGAGCAAGTCACTGACCCTCACTGAGTCTCAGCTTCCTCATTTGTACCTGTTACTCCTGTACCTCACAGATTTATTATACTTGCTATTATGTTAAAATGTTTATTAGTTAATGTATGTATCTTCCCAGGAGGCTGTAAGGCTGTAAGCTGAGGGAAGAGGAATGTATTTGTATTAACCTTTCTGTCACCAAAAGGCACACAGAAAACACTGAACAAACTTACAAATTTAATTTTTCTCTACTCATTTCATTAATGTTTATTTTTTTTCTCCAAATAACTATAAGTTTTGCAAGGGCAAAGGTCATGAATAGCAATTATCCTGTATCACCCACAACACCTAAAACAGTTGGAGAGATATATCAGATACTAGAAGTTTCACTAATTTTAACTTCAGGTCAAAGCAAACAGTGACAGGGTGATCAAAAACAGTGTGCAGCACTCAGTGGATCTGATACTGTGCTCAACAGATATATGATTTTGGGGACAGGGGTTGGATTAAGCAATGGTCTTCTTTTTTTGTTGTTGGGTTTTTTATATATATATAAACTTTTTTATTGAGTTATAGTCATTTTACAATGTTGTGTCAAATTCCAGTGCAGAGCACAATTTTCAGTTATATACGAACATACATACATTCATTGTCCCATTCTCTTTCACTGTGAGCCACCACAAGATCCTGTATATACTTCCCTGTGCTACACAGTAGCACAATCTTGTTCATCTATTCTACATTTTGAAATTCCAGTCCCTTCCCACCCCCCTGCAATGGTCTGCTTAAAACACACCTGCTTCTAAGAAGTAGCAAGACAAATTTAAAGAAACACAACAGAGTTGCTATGGTCAACAGATAAGAATCTCTAAGAATCTCTATAATGTCATTTACTATATTACCTGGAGCCAACAGATACTTTTTAAAACTGATTTTGGGCTAATATGAAAAGACATATAGTATAATTTGGGATTCTTCTCTAAATGGCTGTACAGCAGAGAGGACATTCCATTACAAGTTTAATGCCAACTATTTTTGAGGCAAATATAACTCACATGGGTTAGAAGTTGAGGAGTCAATGAAAAGATGATTTTATATTTTATACTTATATTTATATATCCACTCATTCATTAAGCCAAAAATATTCCTGGACACCTGCTATGTACCAGGTACTATGCCAGGTGATGGGGATGCAATGATATGACTATTACTGTTTCTGTCCTCTGGAGTTTATAGTCTAGTCCTGCACTGTCCAACACAGTAGCCACCAGCCACATGTGACTGCTGAGCATCTGAAATGAGACTGTTCCAAACTGTAAAATACTCCCTGGATTTCAAAGACTTGGTATCCAAAAATGAATGTAAAATTACTAATTTTTATATCTGAATATATGTTGAAATGATACTTTTTACCTCCTGGGTTAAATTAAAATATTTAAATTAATGTCATCTGTCTTTTACTTATGGCTACAAGAAAATTTAAAATTTTGTGACTCACATAATACTTCTATCACACTGCACTGGTCTAGCTCAGTTGCCAACTTCTGTGAATAACTTCATTATCTATGCAAATTAAATGGCTGGGTAAAGAGCATCTAACCAATATTTGATAAATATTAAGCATCCTGTCAAGGAGTCTTATAGCTGGGAGTAAAGAGGTAACTCTTCTTTCTCTTC